GATCTGGACTTGTAGGAAAATTTGGGAAATATGGGAGTCTCAAGTCCTCGAGGGGCCAGTGCATCCTGTCACCTGTCACTCTGGGTCCCTGCACCTCTTCTTAGTGTCTGGGGGATGTGAACTTCATGCACACCGTCTGTGCCACGGTCCTCTCCAGAGAGAATCTTAGAGCTGCTCCTGGTGGGCAGCCAGGAAGTGGACGTACCCCTCGCCCTGACGAGGCAGGTCGTGAGGGTGGCGAGGGCCCCAGCTCCTAGGTGCACGGGTGCCTCGGGGTGCTTCTAGGTGCCCGCGAGGGTCCTGCCTCATGGTTCTCCATCTGTAACAAGGCCGAGCAGGGCAAGCATAGGCCTGGGGCTTGCTCCTCTGCCCCTTCCTGACTGTGTGCACGGAAAGTGGGATGCAGTGATGCTGGGAGAAGGGGCCTCATGGTTCTCCATCTGTAACGAGGCCGAGCAGGGCAAGCATAGGCCTGGGGCTTGCTCCTCTGCCCCTTCCTGACGGTGTGCAGGGAAAATGGGATGCAGTGATGCTGGGAGAAGGGGCGTACCGCTGTTGAACAACACAGGCTCAGCAGCCTTAACTCTTGGCTGCCTTCTCTCCGGGTGGGAAGTCATTGGTCTGGGTACCCGGCCGGCCTCTGAGGTCATGTTTAACACATGAGGACGCAGGTGCCAAGTGGAGTCGGGGAGAAAGCCCTGTCCGTGCCTTCTGGGCCAGGCCCGGGAGCTGCCCCAGCTCCCACTTTCTCTGAAGCCTCTTGCCCTCCCTCCCTCCCCAACAGGTGGCAGCGGAAGAGCTAAGCTACGTGGCTTAGTCCATCAGCATCTTATTCTGGGTAATAAAAAATAAAAATAAATGGATACCTGTTTTCCACTGCTAAAACTGAAGCACCACTGTGAGCAACAGGAGAGGGAGAGGAGTACCCGAGGGAGAGAGGAGCCCGAGACAGAGCGAGCGCCCACTGCTGGCACGTGGCGGCGAGGAGACGGAGAAGGGAGAGCGGGAGGTGGGGCGGCCACGGAGGACCGCCCGCCAGCGAGCCCCGCCAGCCCCGCTCGCCGAGGAGCCCAGCGCTCGCCCGCTGCGTCCACACCTGGGTCTGCGACCAGGGCGGAGGGAGGAAGACCCTCATCTCAGAGTAGCCCTTTCCTCTGTTCTTTTCTTTCTTTTTCTCTTTTATTGAAAGGGGACTACGTTTTAGCAGGAAAAACTACGCGTTTCTGTGCTGAGCAGGCTCCTTGCGGTGGCGGCCGTGCCGGGAGAGCCCCTCAGAGTGGGTTCTGTCCACGCTGGCTCTGATATCGCCGCGCTCACAACTGCCTGTGTTCTAGGAGGGTTTTCATTTAAAGAAAATATGGTGGTTTGTGTTTTTCTGTTTGTTTTTTAAAGATTCTTTCAAAGGAGTACTGAAAAATATACTTTCCTGAATTTGTCTCTCAAATCTTAGTGGTGGACCTGGGAGATGCGAGAAGCTTCCAGAAACGAAGTTTAAACATGCCAAAACAACTCAAGATTAGGATCAACACCTGTGACGGGAGGAGGATTTTTTTTTTTTCAGTTTTAGCTTCCAGCAGCTTCTCCCTGTACGTCAGGGCAGTGAGGGAGCATGGTCCCGGGCCGGGCAGGCGACTCCGTGGTCTCTGCTGGACTCCGAGAAGCAAAGCGCTTCCCGTGTGCCGTGGACTCGGCCCCGCAGGAGGGGCCTCGGGCAGGACTGGCCGTGAGGCCAGAGGGCAGGAAGGTGGCAGTTCCCTGGCCAGTGGCTCCTTCCCCAGGGTCCTTCCTGAGGATTTGGTGGAAAGCACTAGCCAGGAGGATCTGTCCCCGTTCCCAGGGAGGCTCCCACCGTCGCTGTGGCCAGTTAGGCTCACTGAATGCCCCATCCCCTCTTGTTCCCCCACCCTACCTGACTAGTTTGGAGCCCTTCTACCTGTGGGCACAGTTTTGATGAGGTGGGGTCATTTTAACTTTGGCGGGGAAAGGGGATACATTTCTGAAGTAAGTTGGTTCTGTGCCGAAGGGCTTGAAGGAGTTGTCACATCACGTGGTACAAGGGGCCTCTGCCTGGGTCTGGGTTGCAACTTGCATTTATTGTTGCTGGTGGAGTCACCCCCAGCTCTTCGCACACCGTGACAGGGATTAGCCTCCCTGGTGGGACCTAGTTGGGGACTGTCTAACCCTAACCCTGCCTATCCAGGCCCTGATGACCCTGACCCCCAGCATCCCCCTCCCCATGTGCCTTATCCCAAAGCCTCCAGATTCCAGCTGGTACATGGGAGAGACGGGGGACACACAGGCCACCTTCCTTCTGGCAAGGCCTCTTATTTATTACCATTGCTGTAGTGCTTTCGGTTCCCACTTCTTTTGGTAGCTGCATAGAGTTTGGATAGGTTTTTGCTATGACCCCTTGTGCACTGTCCCCATGGGTGACACACCCACCCACCCTGTTCTGTTCCTTGGAATGCTTTGCCTCTGCTTTGTGCTGTTTGCTTTTTTCTCCACCTTAGCAACAGTTGCTATGAGTCCCCCAAATCGAGAAGCATCTGTACCAAGGCAATGTAACTTTTTGATTTTCGGTCAATTTGTTTTAACTTCTTTTGTCACCAATAAAATCTTAATAAACAGCTCTGCATTCACACTGGGGCTGGATAACTACAGGGGGTGGCAGAGCACTCGGTTTGGGGTTTTTTCCTGGTCGGGGGCGGGGGATTCGGAGCCACCTCAACGGCAAAGCTGAGACGGGCCAAACCTGTGCAGCAGGGACGGGAGTTGGGGAATCTGGGCCTACGCAGGGTCAGTTCCTGGGGCCCGTGTACATTAGACGTTGGGCCCCCTAGAGATGGGTTCTGGGAAGGCTGCGCCGGCGGCGTCACTTGTAGGACCTCCACCCACCATCCTGGTGGTCGATGGTGATGGACATAGCTGCTTCCCTCCCCACTCCCAGGTGACAAGACCCGAGAAGGCAGCAGAGCGGACCACGCAGTGTTTATTGTTGCCCTCTCCCGCCCGCCCCCGGTCAGCGGCAGCCGCACTCATCCACCACCATGTCTTCGTAGTGCCGCAGTACCACGTTGTCGCTGTTATCGAAGAAGAGCACGGAGATGGGCGACAGGCGCGCGGGCACGCAGCAGGGAAGGCCGGCGGCGGCGCTAGGGGCGGCCGCGTGCATGAGCGCGCGCAGCACAGCGTGGTTGAGCGCGGGCGTCCCGCCGGGTTCGGACAGCGCTGCGGGCAGCCCGCACTTGCCCTGGCAGTAGTTGGCCAGGAAGCCGCGTGGCGCGATGACCCAGCGGTGCCAGCCCACCTCGCGGAAGCTCACGTAGAGCCGCCGCGCGCGACACGCGCCCCCAGGGCCGCCGCCCACTGCGGGCTCGGCCTCGCGCCGCGGCCGGGCCAGGGGGTGGCACAGGCGCGGGTCGAGGGTCACCAGCAGCAGCGAGGCCTCGGCCAGGCTCGCGCAGGCAGCGGGAGCCCGGGGACGCAGCGCCAGAGTCAGGCGGAGGCTGCGCGGCGCCGAGGTGTTGCGGGCCCAGGCGGCGCCCAGCAGCTCGGCGCGCACCGGCATTCCCAGGGCGGACACCGCCTGGCGGAGCACCACCTGCCCGGGGCCCGCGCCCGCCGGCGCCACGCTCAGCTCCCAGCCGCCCGCCGTCCCCGCCGTCGCCTCTGTAGCCGCGAAGCGCAGCTCCAGGCGGGCCTGGCTCGGGCGCTCGGCTGGCTCCACGGCCGACAGGTCAAAGACGACGGTCCACTCAGGGCACTGTCCCGCAGCTGAGGCGGGCTCCGGGGGCCGGGCGGCCGCGCCTGGGGAGGAAGGGAGAGGGCTCGGCTGGCGCTGGGTCCCCACTCGGTGCCGACCGGCCCGCGAATGGGTCTTGGTTGGGGACAGCGGGGGAAGGTGAGCGACCGGAGCTGGGGGTCGCACCATCTGTTAGAAGGCGTCAAATGGTGTGAAGCGGCGGTGGGTGAGGGAGATGGAGTGGGGGCAGGGCGTCACTTGCAAGGAAGAGGCCCCGACCAGTGTAGGGCGGCCAGCCCGCCGTTGGGGACATAGGCGGGGGTGGGGAGGTGGGGGGGGAAATGAGCGAACGCATGGGGCTAGTGGGGAAGCGATGCTAGGGCGGGTGGCATCTGCAGGAAGGCATCAAGTGGTGTGAAGCGGCAGAGGGGGTGGGATGGAGTGGGGGCAGGGCTTCAGCTGCAAGCAAGGGGCCCTGCTCGGTGCAAGGGAGCCTGGCCTTCGGATTACTCCCCCACCCCATCCCCTGTCCCGGCAGGTGTCCACGCGGAGGAGCTGAGGGAGTTCAGAGGCCCAGGTTGCTTGCGGGCTGGACGGGGAGGGTGGCGACCCTCAGGGCTCTCCGGCCTTCCTCACGCGCCGCTGGAGGCTCGTGGCGGGCTCGGGGCGCCCAGCGGGGTATCGGCCTCCCAGACCCACGCCCCCAGCGCAGACCCCACTCACCGCGGTCCGGGACGTGGCGCACGATGTTTCCGGCGACCCCCAGCTCCTCCACATGGCACGGCCGCAGGGTAGTCCCCAGGGGCGTCCTCCGAGGGCCCGCCCTGGCCTCCTGGTGGTCCCGGCGGCGGAACAGGCGCCACATGACAGGGGGTACAGGCCGGGACTTGGGGGCGCCCCGGGGCACGTCGGGAAACCCGAGAGCCTGGAGTAGGGCGGCGGCTGGGCCCGGGGGCTCGGGGGCGCGGGCCGGGGGTGACGAGGGCAGCAGCATGGCCAGTAGGAGAAGAAGGACGTGGCGGCCCGGACGCCAGCACAGCGGTGGCATCTTCGTCACAGGCGGCGGCCGGGCGAGTGCTCAGGGGCTGGTGGGCTCCGGGACCTGCGGGCTGGGGGCGGGACCGGGGTCCCTGGAAAGACCTGGGCCAGGTCAGGGTCTCGGGGGGCGTGGCCGCGATCCTGAAGTCGAATAGGGACCAATCACGGGGGCGGGGCCTCGAGGGGGCGGGGCAGGGGTCCCGGGAGTGGCCAGGGCGGGGTGGGTTGCGGCGGGGGCGGAGCCTGATAGGGCCAGGGTACAGGGGGCGAATGGGGGAGCCGCGTGGCTGGTCCCCGAGGGCGAGGTTGGGTGGGGCTGGGTCCTGGGCGGCGGGGCCGGGGTCGAGGGGTTCAGAAGCGCTTGTCCTTAACCAGTCCATTCCTCAGCGGCTTCCTGCGAGCCAGAACCGGCCCAGGTTAGCCTAGGGACCCCACGCCACCACGTAGCGCCTCCCACCACCGTCCCGCCCTCCTTGCCCTCCTTTTCCCAGCCCCGCCCCATTCTTCCTCCCAGCCCACAAGGCCAAAAGACCCTGCCATCTGCCTGCTGGGCAAGTGGTCCCTGCTCCTTCCTACAATTAAACCCTCCTCTCCCCTCCCCCCTGGGCCACCCGCGGCTGCTGGAGGGCAAAAGTCACCTACCAACCTCTGCCTGATTTAAGCCCATCGCCTGGACCTGGACCAGCGCTTTATCCTCCTCCTCTCCCAGGGAGGCAGAACTGGCCAGAGCCCCCGGCTATCCCACCGGGCAGGCTCCTCCCCAACTACAATGGCCCTACCAGGAAAGGCTTCCCAGCCCATGATTCTCCATCCACTGCCCTCTGTCTACACCTGCCACAGCCCCTTCTTTGCTTCCATGTCCTTAAAACAAGTTATGTAGTGTTTTAAAACGAATCAGTACTGTCAGATCCCAGAGAAAGACCCCTAACGTCTAAACAACGTTCATGGTTTGCATATTTCAAACTGTCTACAAAGATGTCTTCTCCTGCACCTCAATTTTCCAAAAATGTGCCACCGAGATCGCTCCCATGTGCACTGATGATCTCCTTAATTCCATCTTCCCTGCCTGTGTTAGTGGCAGGTCTCTGGGGTCCCGACTGGGAGGGGACCTGCACCCTGGGGATCTGCCCAGGCCCACCTTACTGGACTCAACAGGTCTACCCCTGCCCCTCACCGCTATTGCCATCACTTGCTCGGTGTTGTGTCCTGTTTAACTGGCCAGCCTGCTGATGCCAAGACAGCATCTCCCCGCAGTCTTACGGTCACGGCCATTGACCATTCCTATTCCCACGTATGAGAACTCTTCGTGCCTTTGCACATGGTCCATCAGTCTCTGCTAAAGTGAATTCTACAGTCTAGTTTATGTACAACTGTATTAAGTTTTCTGAGCCAGTAATATATTCTCACGGTCTAGACCTCAGAAAGCATAGAAAACTCACAGTTCAACCGAGCGGCTCCTAGGGATCTACCACCCTTTGACTTCTGTGTATCCTCAGATACTAGCATATGTGCATTACTGTACCCTGCAGCCCTTTGGTTTGTGGAGCACTCTAGCTCAGAGACCGTTCCATATGAGAACATAAAGACTTTCCTGGAGAAGATGGTCTCAGTCACTTTAGTTTGCTCTTCCCTGGGGCTGGAGCCACTGGATGCCCCTTCCTGGGAGCACACCTCCCGCCCTCGGCCCACTTCTCCGTGGGCTGCTGTTTTCTCTCGCTGCCACCGCGGGAGCCCTTTATCTGGGAGATCAGAGATAAGCCCCCCGTGGACCTCCCATCTGTCCTATATCTTCAGCTTTGCCTGTTGGTCTTTTAGACAGAGCAGAGGTGGGGTTCCCAGCTTCTTGAGTCTTCTCATAGTTCAGTTGCTGGACGGCACAGTCTCTCATTTCGACTCTTTGATTGCACAGCTTCCATTTCTGCATCAACATCTTTGATGCTTTGGGAGTTTGCACTGGGGGGCTCATGCGAGATAAAGATGGTTACCAAGCAAGCGTCCCATCGACAGTTCTTCCTTCCCTCCCGGGATGCTTCTTTGCTAAAGTTTGATGGGCTCAGCTCTGTTCCCACTGTTTTAATTCCTATACTTCTATAGAAGGTTTAATACCTCCAAGGATCCGTACCCCCGCCCTGTGCCTCTTTATCAGAGCTTTCCTGTGGTGATTCTGGTTTGTTTTTCTGCACAAGCTTCCAAGTGCCCCCTCCCTCCTCAAAAACAGTGTATTTGCGGGGGAGGGGAGTACCCAACTAGGGCGAGACGGCCTCTCTGCAGAATCAGATTTACACTTTTTCGTCTCAGTGCACCACAGCGGGAAAGAGAAAATCAGGACGAGGGTGGAAGCTGCAGGGGGATGTGGGCAGGCAGAGACTCGGGTGGATTCTGGATGTTTCCTTGAGGATAAGGAGGAGAGGGAGAGACGGGGGGCTCCCTAGGGTTTTGCAAGGTTTTCACCCTGAGTTGCCATCAAGTGCGATGGACAAATGTTCGCGAGAGGTAGTTTGCGGTGGGAATGGGGGTTGATTCTGGATATTTAGAAGGTGCTTGGAATGTCAAGCAGACACTGACACAGACAATGGCACTCAGAGGAGCACTGTGAGCTGGGAGAGAAACTTGGAAGTCGGGGTGGATTAAGTGAAAGGGCCCTGGGAGAGGGGGAGGCCAGATGCAGAGCAGGAAGGCACTAAAAAGTGAAGCGGGAGCCCACGTGCCGCAACTAAGGAGACTGCGAGCCGCAACTAAGACCCAGTGCAACCAAGTAAATAAATAAATACTAAAAAAAAAAAAAAAAAAAAAAAGAAAGTGAAGCAGGGAGCAGAGGCAGACTGGCGATTGCAAAAGGAGAGGTTGGGTTGGGTATGGGGTTTCTTTTGCGGGGGTGACAAAAATGTTCTAAAACCGCAGTGATGGTTTCACAACTCTGTGAATGGACTAAAAACATTGACTTCTACACGGCAAATGGGCAAATTGCATGGTGTGTGAATTCCATCTCAATAAAACTGTTCAAAAAAAGGCGGGGGGGAGTGACCACCAGATTTGTTTAGCATCAGTGGAGCGGACAGGAGTGGTCTCGGGGTGGTGGGGGGAAGACCCCAGAGGGAGCTGGGTTCGAGAAGGGAGGAGAAGGGGGTGCTGGGCTGTAAGCGGAGCGGAGAGAGGAGGTTTCTCTTCTTGATCAGAATGTCCCTGAGCAGGCAAAGGGGTGGACATCGGTGGCCCGGGACGGTGGCCTCAGAGGGAGATGGACCATCTACCAAAGCAGCCAGCCGGCACTAGAGGGTGGATGTCCTCATCCGGCTACCCCTGCTTTCCTGGGGACACGGAAGCCAAGTCATCGGGTGAGGGGACAATGGTGAGGACAGTTGGTGGCCGAGGAGAAGGAAGAGTCTCAGGAGATCAGGCACTGCCCAGGCATCGCTGAGGACCCCTGGCCCCCATTAGTGCTGCAGCGAGGACCAGATGTGCGGGTCATGGCTCTTCAGATACAGCGGGGGCAGCTGAGAGTGTCACGGAGGAGAAAGCCGGTGTACGGAGGGGTGGGGTAGCCTCAGGCAGGTCAGCAGACCCAGAGCGGGGTGAGGGCCCCCGATGGATGGCGGTCCCAGCAGCCCAAGAGAACGATTGGGGCTTCAGACCGAGGTCGTGACCAGGGTGCAGGGGCCACTGCAGGGGGCCGAAGACAGAGGTCCAGGAGGGGCCCCATGGAGGGGGTTCAGAAGAGAGAACCAGCAGGAGCAAAGAAGGCCTCAGTGCTGCTTTGCCACGTGATTTGTTCTCCACTCCGGGGTCCTTCAAAGTGGTTCTCAGTCATTGTTTTCAAATCTAACTGCATTTTCATCATACATGGTCTGCACGATCCTGGTTCTGAGCAACGGAGGTTGCCCCTGGTTTTTTTCAATTTTGAGAAGTGTTCCCGTGCTTAAAAAGAACATCTGTTCTTGCTTCGGAGCTGCCTGATGAGGAACGTGGACTTTACCTCCTGTGGTCCCATCTCGCCACAGTTTAGGGCTGCATCATGCGGATCCTTTCACATCAAAAATTACACCTTTCTCCTCCTGTCTTTTTTTTTTTTTTTTTTCGCTGGTCGCGGCCCGCCGCTCACTGTTGTGGCCTCTCCCGTTGCGGAGCAACAGGCTCCGGACGCGCAGGCTCAGCAGCCATGGCTCACGGGCACAGCCGCTCTGCGGCATGTGGGATCTTCCTGGACCGGGGCACGAACCCGTGTCCCCTGCATCGGCAGGCGTACTCTCAACCACTGCGCCACCAGGGAAGCCCTCCTCCTGTCTTTTTACTTACAACTTTTATTTATCCTGGAGTTGAAGTTTTTTGACCAGGTCAGAGATGGATTTATTTAAAAGCCCAGTCGCGTAATTGTCATGATTATTCCATGTGTGTTTATTTGCATGCGCAATAGTTGAGATTCTACCCTCATTCTGCATTACTTACCCTGCTTTTTCTAGCTTTCCTTTCCTGCATTTACTTTGTTGTACCTGTTTTTGGTTCCACTCTCCCCTCTACACCCTAATAGTGTTAACATAAATACTCAATATAGCCCAAAGGTAATGCCCTACCCTCCTGCAAAATGCAAAGCCACCAATCCTGTTCAATAATATTAAATATTTCAGCTCTAATTTTTTAAAATCTCTCAAATTAGGCGTTAAAAAAAATTTTTACCCAGATATGTATCAATTTCTCTGCTGATCTATCTCTTGGGGTAGTTTTCTGAAATATTCTCCTAGAGAAGATCTGTGAATGGTAAGCAGCCTTCTTAGTTTTTGTTCCTGCAGATATCCTTTTTTTTTTTTTTTTTGGTGGGGATGCTGGGGACCAAACCCAGGATCTCATGCAAGCCAACAGGTTTCCTTTCTCTTGAGTAACTGTGTTTAAACTTGTGTATAAGAGTCCCGGTTTCTTGTTACTTCCTTTCAGCATTTGAGGTGATATCTGACTCCAGTCTTCCAGCTTCCCTCGTTGCTGTTAGTCTGTCACTGTTTCGTAGGTCATCTCTTCTTTTCTGTAGCTGTTTCACATTTCACTATGATGTGTCTGGGGCCCGGATGCCTTTGTATTCATCCTGCTTATGATTTATGTCTTGTCACTTTCTGGAAAAATTCTCAGCATTATGTCTTCTCATGTTGTCTCTCCCTGTCTATCTATCTCCTATTAGGACTCAGCCACATAATTCTTACTATTCTAGCTGTCATATTTTCCATTTGTTTAGGCTGCATCCTAGGTAATTTCTCCGCAGCTTTCAATTCACTGATTCTCTTTTCAGCTGTATCTAATCGTTGGAGACTTAACATCTATAATAGGTTGAATGGTGGTCCCTAAAAGGATATGTCCACATCCTAATCTCTAGAACTGCGACTGTGACTCTATTTGGAAAAAGAGTCTTTGTAGATGTAATTAAGTGAAGTAATTTGGGATGAGATCATAGTGGTCTAAATCCAATGACAAATGTCCTTATAAGAGCCAGAGAGACCATTTGAAGACAGGAAATGGAGATTGGAGTGATGCAGCCACAAGCCAAAAAACATCTGGAACCCCCAGAAACTGGAAGAGGCAAGGAAGACCTTCAGAGCAAGAGTGGCTCTGCTGACACCTTCATTTCAGACTTCTGGTCTCTAGAACTGTGAGAGAATAAACCTCTGTTGTTTTAAGCCCCCTAGTTTGTGGTACTTTGTTACGGCAGCCCTAGGAAAGAAATATATTTAACATCCAATGCTGTTTTTCATGGTCTCTCATGCCTTTTACATTTTTAATAAACTTTTCATTTTAGAATAATTTTAGATTTGCAGAGATAGCATAAAGAGCTCCAGGGTAGCCCTTGCCCAAGTCTCCCCGAACGTTAACATTTTATATCTCCACAGTGCATTTATCACAACTAAGAAACCAATGCTAAAACATTGCTATGAGCTAAACCATAGACTTTATTTGAATTTCACCAGTTTTTCCACAGATGTCCCTTTTCTGGTCCAGGATCCCACATTGCATTCAGTCAATCTGAGCTGACGGTTCCTCAGTCTCTTGTTTTCCATGACCTGACAATTTTGAGGTGTCCTGACCAGCTCTTTTGTGGCACATTCCACATTCTCATTGCTTTTTATCCCATCTTGTTTTATACCCAACTGTGCTAACTCTAGCCATCCTTAGGGACCAGGTTCTGCAGGTGGTGCCCATGGGGCCAACCATGGCAGCATGTCCCCAGTCCCCTGTCATTTCTGTATGGAGTTTGTTCTTTGCCATCCTAGTGGGAATGCTGTCATTTGGGGCTGGAGGCGCCAGCCTCCCAACTCACATTCTGGCTGGACATTCTCGGGGGAGACAGAGCAGGGAGCAGGGTGGAGCTAGGTGGTCTGGCTTGCTCTTTGCCTTGGGCTCTGCGTTTACAAGGACATCTCTAGGAGTTCACTGTTTTACAGCAGAAAGGTCTTTCAGTTTTAGATTTAGCCAAGCAGGTGCCTCCCCAACCTCACCCCTGGAGTTCTCTTTAATCACTGTTTCTTCTGGAAGCCTCTGAGGGTTGGTCAGACTCCTTGGTGAGACCTCACTGACCTCTACGCGCAATTCCCAACTCAGGTTCGCTGGACATCGACAATCCGACACCCTGAAAACTAGACTCCCAACCCCCTACCCCCACCGGTGCACATGGTCCTGCCCTGAGTCCCATCTTGGTAAATGGCAGCTCGAGCCAGAGGTCTTGGGTCATCTTTGAATTTTTTATTTCTATTTCACCTACATCCAAAGCAAGTCTGGTTAGTTCTACACCAGAGTTGGGATCTGACCACTGGGGTGACCTCACCTGCGGCCCAGCCCTCTTGTGTCCACAATCCCTGCTCACCTGCCTGACTCCCCTCTAACCTGGGCGCTGGCTTTTGGCTGCTCTGGCAATTCCCCCAGTTCTTTGCTCCCCTTCTCATGTCTTTCAAGGAGATTTTTAAAAAATCTCTGCTTCTCTCATCCTCCTCCCTGCCCATTCTGACCCACACCTCACTGCACTCTGAGCCCACTGCTTCCCCGAAACCATCTTTCCCAGGTTGGTCACTGATGACCTCCCAGGGGTCAAATCAGAGGGTCTGCTGGGGAGTGCCCTGCGAGCCTTCAGCAGCCCCCATCTCAGTGCTGCTCAACCACCCCTCACATTGACTGTGAGGCGCTGCACACCTTGGACCCTGCTGGTCATCCCAACCTGCCTCCATTCACTCCTGGGGCCCCTCCAGGCCAGGGGCTTTGGGCGCCATCTGGCTCACATCCCAGGGCTGGCAGTCCCGAGGCCCCTACCTCCAGGACGGTCGAAGAGGCCCCTTTGGCTCGTCATCCCTACAAATCCCACCTGGGCCCGAACCCCCGGCCCCATCTCCTGCTTGGCTGACCAGTGGTTGCCCCGCTGGACCAGAGGGTATTAGCCCGAACAGAGCCCGGGCTCCCTGGGCCGCCCATGGCACCCCCTCACCGCCCCCTTCCACTGCCACCTGCTTAGAGGTTGCCGTCAGGCCTGGAAAACAGCTGATCCTCAGCACTGGGCTTGGCCCTCACGGCTCCCACCACCGAGACCCTGATTCTCACCCCTCACCTCTCCACCCCCACCTTCCTCGCTGTCTGTCCTGACAGCATCTAACTCTGTCGCTACATCGTCCATGCCTTTGTCGCAGTCTCTCTTTTGGATGCAGGCTCCGGGGGGGGGGGCAGCGTCGGCATCAGCCTCTTCCGCTGCCGTGTCTCCGGGGCCTACCCACAGAGTGCGCTCGATCAGACGGACGTGGTTAAGGAATGAACTAGGGCTGGGGGCCCCTCCACACTCACTCAGCTTTGCTGGGCTTCGGGCTCAGGGCCTCTGCTGTGTCATATTCCCGCACGTCCTTCAGCTCGCGCACCTGGCCCGTCAGCACCTTGGCAGCAAAAGCCACGATGTACTGTGGGAGGGGAAGGCACAGGTGAGAAGAGAGCCCCGTCCCCGACCTCGCTGCCCTCCTGATGGCTGGGTGCTCCTGCCACCGGCCCTTTGCACGTTGCCTAACATGCCCCTCCTCCCTGGGAGTGCGTGAGAAGGGCGTGCACCTGGAGCGCTCCTTGGGGACGGGGACCGGGACAGGACTGGCATCTGAGAAGAAAGGGGTGGCGAGGAGCTGTGAGCGCCAACTCACCAGGAACCAATAGAGGTTCATGAGTGTGAGCAACAGCAGGAGTGCGTTGAAGAAGAAGTAGAAGGGGATGTCAGGCACCGACCGCAGGCTGCAGTAGCTCGTGGCATACAGGACCTTGAGCGGGAACCAGTAGAGGCGGAACCAGAACCTGCAGAAGGGAGGGGCGCGTCGAGGAGGCTGTGGGGGCGAGGGGGAGGGGAGCCCCCTCCCCTTCCCCCCAGTCCCTGTCCTGTCCCGTCTGGACTCATCCATCTGCCCCTGCACATCCTCACCCATCCATGTCTCCTTACCCCACCCTTGTTCATTCCTGCCGAGCTGTCTCCATTCTTGTGCTGTCCTTTCCTGCCCAGCTTGCTTATTCCCAACTCGTGCCCTCTGCTGTCCCACCAGACCCCGCCCACATCACCCTGGCCCTGTCTGGCCCCTCCCACCTCACCAAGCCCCCCCCCCCCTCACCAGGACCCACCCCTTCCCCTGCCCACCCGCCTCTCTAGGACCCACTTCCTTCCTGCTTGGCTCCACCCACTCTCATAAGCCCCACTTCCTTCCCGGCCTGGCCCCGCCTACCTCCACCAGGTCCCCTCCCCTTCCACTAGGCCCGCCTCCTCCCCTGCCGGCTCACCAGCTGAGGCTGAAGCTGAGGCAGCCCAGGTCTGCAGCCAGGGCGTGAAGCCGGTGGTGGGATCCTCCGCGGGACTTGAAGTAGACATTGAGCTTGGTGAACTCCAGCTGTACGTCACTGATGTCATGCAGGAAGAGCACAAGGATGCCCACCTTGTGGTACCTGAGGAGGAAATCGGGAGAGGAGAGAGGGCTGGTTACCCTGGGACCCCTACCCGCACCGAGGCTCCCAAGCACAGGCCCCCTCGGCCACCCCTCCAGGCTTCCCGTGGGTCTGTTCAGAGCTGTCCTCCCTGGCCCATCTGCCCTGCCCATCCCCCCTTCACAGGGCTAGGTCAGCAGTAACACCCAGGCTGCACCCGTCCTGTGGCAGCCACACCCCAGGCTCAGGAACCTCCCTGGAAGTGCCCTCTCTGATCCTTCCTCATCTCTGTGACCTCTGACCCTCAATGACCCCTGACCCTCACAGGCCTGGGTCATTCTGTGTCCAGATACCCCACACTCTCAACATGACTGCCTCACTGATGCTCCCGGGTTTGTACGTTTAACCTGAACACTGCTGCAAACTGCAGACTTGCCTGGGAAAGGCCGCACCCCCACCAGGATCTGACGAAGGCTGGAGCCCCGTCCCTGTCCAGCCTTCCGCCTCACAGCTGCGTGGTGCCTGAGTTCAGCCTGGATGTGGCTGTGCACCTCTGTCACCGTCTTCATGCCCACTCTGCCCTCCTGACAGCCACAGGCTGTTCTCATCCCCTAACATCCCTGGTGTTCCCGGAGCCTTCCTTCACCAACTTTCAGTCTCGGCTCACCGGTCACCCCTGACCACCCCACCTCACCTCACCACCTCTGCAGTCCTTATCTTCCGACTTGAATTTTCCATAGTGATCACCTTCAAACAAACTGTTAGTTCTTTTCTTTCATGGTTTTTTTTTGTGGGGGGGTTGTTATCTGATTCTACCCTCTAGAGCAGGGCTGTCTAATAAATTTTCAAGAATGATAGGAATGTTCTAAATCTGCATTGTCCAATACAGGAGTCACCAGCCACATACTGGGCTGAGGTACAGAATGTGTGATTTTATTTAAGTTTAATTAAAGTTGACATGACCACCTGTGGCCAGCAGCTACTGTGCTGGAGGGCACAGCTAGTCCAACAAGAATAGAATTTGAGGGGCTTCCCTCAAATAGAATTTGAGGAGCAGTGCAGGGAACACAGTTCAATCTCTGGTCCGGGAAGATCCCACATGCCGCAGAGCAACTAAGCCCGTGCGCCACAACTACTGAGCCCACATGCTGCAACTACTGAAGCCCACGCACCTAGAGCCCATGCTCTGCAGCAAGAGAAGCCACCGCAATGAGAAGCCCGCACACTGCAATGAAGAGTAGCCCCCACTAGCCACAATTAGAGAAAGCCCACGCGCAGCAACAAAGACCCAACACAGCCAAAATAAATAAATAAAATAAATAAAAATAAATTTTAAAAAAGTGAATAGAATATGAGCTGTATATGTCGTTTTAAATTTTCTTTTTTTTTAATTTTTTTTGAGTTTCCATGTTCAATTTTTATTTTTTTAATATCTTTATTGGAGTATAATTGCTTTACAATGTTGTGTTAGTTTCTGCTGTACAGCAAAGTGATTCAGTTATACATATATATATATTCTTTTTCATATTCTTTTCCATTATGGTTTATCATAGGATATTGAATATAGTTCCCTGTGCTATACAGTAGGACCCTGTTGTTTATCCATCCTATATATAATAGTTTGCATCTGCTAATCCCAATTTCGTTTTAAATTTTCTATCAGCAGCGTTTAAAAAAAAAAGTAAATAGGAAGAAGTAAAATTAATTTTAATAATATATTCCAATTGACTCAGTATATCCGAAATGTCGTCATTCAACATGTAAATGACATAACAAAGGGACTGAAAGATATTTTCACTCTCCTTTACCCTTGGAATCAGGGTGGCTTTTACACATACAGCATGCTGTGGTTTGCACAGGCTCTGCCTTGAAGCACTATGACCACGTGTGGTGGCCACAGTGGGCTCTGGAACATAACGTTTTGTCTACTGTGCTCACGGCTGTGCCCCCAGCAGCACCTGCCACATGGCAGGTGTTCAGTAAACACTTGCTTTGTGACCCAGCCAAGGTTGCCATCCAGGAGGAGCTGGAGGGGGACAGATGGGGTGGGGGCAGGTGGTGCCTCTCTGCACCTGTTTTGCCCCATCACTTCAGAATCTCTCTTCAGAAACCTCTCCCACGGACACCCCCATACCCCCCACCCAGGCATCAGCCTCTGCCCTGTGCCAGCCTCTTGCCACTGCTCACGCCAGTGCCCTCCACACTCCTGTCCCCTCCTGGACTCACCGGAAGGCATAGGACGAGATGATGAGGACCAAGGTGACCACATGGTGGATGAGCATGACCACTGAGTCCTTGCGCCAGGCATCCAGGTACAGCGTGGCATAGATGGAATGGCCGTAGAAGCTTCCCTGTAGTAGGTAGGCAACTGCGATGTCCCGTGGTACCGCCATGCCCGTCTTCCAGTCTGGGGAGGGCCAGACCGTGCCGTCAGGGACCTGCAGGGCCTCCGGGACCCGCAGGCGACCCCGAGCACTCCCTCAAGCCGCGCATGGGTCCTCTGCATGCTGGGCGTGCCACGCATCTCTGCAGCTGTTCTGGTCGCTGGTTTTCTGTTACCCATTCTCCACCCATCATTGTTTATGAATAGGCATTACTTTTTAGAACAGTTATAGATCTACAGAAAAAGGTGCTCCTGCCCTGAAATTGGTCCTTTGCAGAATTTCCAACTGTGCCCCAGGCCCCCTTCCCCGTCTTCTCTTACCAGGCTCGCTCAAGACACCCGGTCCTGGGTGCCGCCCTCCCAGCAAATCCCCAAACCGATGGAGGCTGCCACCTGCCTTGCTGTGCCGGCCAAGCAGCTGAGGCAGAAATCACACACTTTCCAACGCCCATGAGTGCGGGCTCTCCCGCAGAGCGGGCCCGGCTCCACCTCCCCTCCTGCAGCCACCTCCTGCCCCCTGCCCCTGCACATGCGCCCACCCGCACTCAGGCCTCGTGCCTTTCCAGGGGACATCGCTCCCCGCACCATCTCCGCCTCCCCTCCTCAGTCCATCACCGAGGACTCTGCCCGAATCGACCTAGAACTCCAGACTGTGCCCTGCTGTCTGCGGCTCCTTCTTTGTCCATCCCCCGTAACGGCCTCCCTGGGCTCCATCCCCGGTCTCCTGTCCCTCCCCCTCCAAGCCTCAGTGATCTGGAGCTAGACCCTCAAGTCCCCCTGGAGGCCAGCTATCCCTTAGACGCCTCCTATGCTGCCACCTCAGTGACAGCCCTTCGTCTGTACCCTGGTCCTGCCTGCAACGGAGATCCACTTGGACCTCTATCTGGGGGTCCCTCTTCGGTCCCCACCTCCACTCACTTGCCCTGCCCCCACTGCCCCCACCCTGGTCCAGGTACCGTCATCTCCTCCCAGCGCTGCCCCAGCTTCTCCCGGCCTCCAGAGCCTATTCCCGACTGTCCATTCTCCCCACAGCAGCCTCGATGGCTGTGAATACACAGACCCCATGATCTGGCAAGTCCACTCTTGGCCTGTGCCCAAGGAAACTGAAAACAGGGACTCAAGAGACCCCCGTATACTCATGTCCACAGCAGCACTAGTCACAATCATCAAAAGGGGAACAGCCCAAATGTCCATCAGCAGGTGACTGGGTACACAAAATGTGGTAAATCCACATTTCGTGTAGCCACATCATGTGGAATATTATGCAGCCCTAAAAAGGAAAGAAGCCTTGACACACACTACAATGTGAATAAACCTCAAAAACATTATGCTGAGTGAAAGAAGCCAGACGCAAACGGGCACATGCAATCACATACCAATGATTCCATGTATATGAAATGTCTATAGAACAGGCAAATCCATAGAGACAGAAAGCGGATTAATGGTTGCCAGGGGCTGGGAGAGGGGGGATGGCAAGCTGCTAACGGGGACGGGTCTCCTTTTCGGGATGATGGAAATGTGCTGGAACTAGATAGACACGGTGCTTGTGCAACACTGTGAACGTGCTAAACGCCACTGAACTGCTCACTTCAAAATGGTGAAGTTTTAAAAGTTGTGGTAAAAATATATATAACATAAAATGTACCACCTTAACCATTTTTAAGTTTAGTAGCACTAGGTATATTCACACTGTTGTGCAACCAATCTCTAAAAGTTTTTCCATGTTGTAAAACTGAAACTCTGTTCCCATTAGACACTCCCTCTCTGTTCCCCCTTCCCCAGCCCCTGACACCCACCATCCTACTTTCTGTCTCTATGGATTTGACGACCCTAGGTGCCTCACATAAGTAGAATCACACAATATTTGTGTTTCTGTGACTGGCTAAAATGGTTAATTCTGGGAATTCCTTGGCGGTCCAGTAGCTAGGACTCCGTGCTTCCATTGCAGGGGGCATGGGTCCAATCCCTGGTCGGGGAGCTGAGATCCAGCGAGCGGCACAGTGCGGCCAAAAATAAATAAATAAAATAGAATGGTTAATTCTATGTTATGTAAAGTTTACCTAATTAAAAAAAATGAAAGACACCTGACAGATCACTCATCCCCCACTTGAACACGTCCAGGGCTCCCCAATTGGGCTCAGTAGCAAAACTCACACTCCTGGCTGGGTCTCCCCCCACGTTCCGTGCACAGCCTTGTGGCAGTGCTGCAGTCAGCAGAGGGGGGCCTCCCCACACCTGCCAAGTGTCTCTGTCCCTCTTGAGAAGGAAGGGACGCGGAGGCACCCTCTGTGGAAACGGGACACCCTCTTTTCCACCTATCACACTGGCGAGACTGCTACAGTGGAGAGCACCCCCTCTCCAGCTTTGGGCCCCAGATCTGGGGCAGAGGGAAGAGAGCAGCAGATAATTCCCCATCTGGGCTGCGTCTGCACCTCCCTGCACGTTGTGGGGTGAGGTGGGCCGGGCTCTGTCTGTGGACCTCCAACCTCCTCTCCACACACACCCCGCCTGCTGCTCTGGCCTCTCCATGTCACTCCTGCCTCATCCCCCTCCCCGATCTCCAGGATCAGCCACCTGGGCATCCCACACCCAGCTCCTGGTCTCCCCCAAACCTGCCCCACCCTCAGCCCCCTAGACCCTGGGGCCAGCCCCATCCTCCTTCTCTCTCACACCCACCTATGGTTTGGCAGTGAATCCTATCAATTCTGCTTTCAAAACATTTCTTTTTTTTTTTTTTTTGCGGTACGCAGGCCTCTCACTGTTGTGGCCTCTCCCGTTGCGGAGCACAGGCTCTGGATGTGCAGGCCCAGCAGCCATGGCTCACAGGCCCAGCCACTCCGCGGCATGTGGGATCCTCCCGGACCGGGGCACGAACCCGTGTCCCCTGCATCGGCAGGTGGACTCTCAACCACTGCGCCACCAGGGAAGCCCCAAAACATTTCTTAAATCAGCCACTTCTCTCCCCACCACAACCCTGTCCTGGGCAGAGCACACCGGCTCCTGCCCTCAGCCCCACCCTTAGGTCGTCCTGTCAACGTCCCCCCTCTGCTCGTGGCCCTATGGTAAAGACCCCCACTGCTCCCACCCCACCTGACTGGGCTCCTTGCTGCTTCTGATCAGCCAGTAGCGTGTCTGTCCAACAGTGGCCTTTGCATTTCCCATCTGCCCCAGGTTCCTCCCAGTCCCCACTCAAAAGTCACCTTTGGTGGGACCATCCCCATCCCTGTAGAAAATGCCCTCCTCCCCACCTCCTAGACACCCCACATCCCATGCTCCTCTGCTCACTCAAGTTTCCTCATCTGCACTTATCACCGTTAACAGATTTCCTGTTTCACTTTAACAGATCTGTCACCCCAAAACACAGGGGTGGGGGGCTTTCTCTGACCTACTCACAGTTGTGTCAGCACAGCACCTGGTACACAGTAGGTACTCAGTAAGCGTGCCTGCAGAGAAGCAGCTAACTTGCAAGTGTGCTACCACAGCATAATTTATAAGCAGGAACCAGAGGCAACTCCATGCTCGAAACTTCAATTACAGAGAGAGAGTTCAATTACAGTTCATTCTCATAAAGGAAAATTGAATGACAGCTCAAACCTCCCCTCTAGGGATTTATGACACGGGAAATGTGCGTGTGTTACACGGGAAAAGTGGCCATGTGGGCAGCATGGTCACAAGACAGACAGGTGCAGCGCAGGGGTTCCATGCCCAGCTCCCTGGTGCCACCAGGAGCCCTCCCAGGATGTTTATATCACACGGCAGGAAACACGTCCATGTGGGTCCCTGATACACAGTCTGGGTGGTCAGCACAAGAGGAGAGAAGCCTGACCCCTCGTCGCAGACTGAGTTTTCTACATCGGCCTGCCGGTTGGTAACAGAGGACACTGCAGTCAAATTCCTGCCCATCCCACCCAGAGCTCAGGCCTTGATGACACCCACGTCGAATCCAATCAATGGATGCAGCCACTTCTCACCACCTTTATCTCCTTGCCAAGCTGGTACAAGCCACATTGGTCCCTTGCCTAACCCCTGGGCCCAGCTCCCCTCTTTACCCAAGATTCATCTGTCTCCACATGGCAGCCAGAAGAAGGTTTTTTATAATCCACAAACCCATCCCATTTAGGACGAAACTCAAGCTCCTGCCATCCTCCTCTCGTCCCCATATTATCAAGCTCATGCAAGCCCCAGGGCCTTTGCACGTGTTGGACTGCTTGCCTGGGCCCACACAAGGGGTCCCCTCCTCTAGGATGTTTCCCTGAGTCCTGACAGGGACAGGTGCCCCCTTTTCTGGCCCCAGGGCCCCTTCATCGCCCTTGTCTCAGAGCAGACATCCAGCATGGGATGTCTGATGAGTGTCCAGCTCCCCCATGTACCCTTCTCTGAGTTCAGAACAGGGCCCTCCCCCAACCTGCCCCATCCCTGCAGGTCCCCTACCATAGAAGACGGAGGGTGGGTCGTGAAAGAAGGGGTAGTCAGTGCCGAAGAGCAGGTAGGTGCTGTAGCTCCAGGCGCCCAGGTAGAAGAGAAACTTCCAGGCGCTCTCAGGCATCTTGGCGGCATCTCTAGGCTGGAGGCGGCACTGTTTGGCTAGGGGCTACGGGTGAGAAGGCGGGCGGCCATCAGCACTGGTAGCCAAGGGCCGCTCCTCCAGGGTAGGGAAACCAAGGCCCAGGGACTCCCCAGGCTAGGCAGTGCCGGGCCCGGTACCCACAGCCTCCTGGAAAGTAACCAGAGCCCACGTGTACCTGCCAAGGGCTAAACTTAGTGCCCAGCTGTCCAGCCGCAGCCGCAAGGGGAGGGGAGTGATGGGGGAGACCTGGGCGGAAACGTGAGGGGAGGCTGTGAGGGGAGGAGGGGGACACGTGGGTGTGAAGCAAGGGAGACCAGTGGGCTCAGTCCAGGGGACTGGGGGGCTTGGGGGGTCTCAGGGGGAGCTAGAGGTATGACAGAGAGGAAAAAGGATTAAAGAGAAGACTTGGAAGGGGCAATGGGAGTGAACTGGAGGGGAATATGGGGGCATCCGGGGGAACATGGGGGGCTGGAACCCTAGCAGTCCCCATGCGGGAGGAACTTGAGGGAAGGGGGTGCCTCAGAGGAGGAATTGGGGAGACCAGAGAGGAACGGGGGCTGGGGAAGATGGGGTGGGTAGGTGGGGGAGGACATGGGAACTCAGGGGAGAAAAGGAAGAGAGGATGGGGCAGAGGAAGAAAGAGGGTCAAGGAAAGGACACCGCAGATGGGGGGACCTGAGGGGACAGCAGGGAGGGGACAAGAGAAGTGGGAGCATGCAACGGTGAGGCATGGAGGAATTTCAGGGACCCAGCGCCCCTGGAGTCCTGGGGGCAGAGCCTCAATCTCTCTGGGGGCGGGGCTCCAGAGCTGCCGGCCAAGCCCCGCCCCCCTCCCCTAGGCGAGGCTGAGGGGGCCGGAGCACCAACAGTCGCCATGGAGACAGCCAGAGCCAGCTCCGGTAACCCCTGGCAACCACACGACTGCCAAGAAGATGAGCTTTGGAGAACGAGGCAGCCCCTCCGCCCGTTTCTTGGGAAGGGCGAGCCACGAACTGGAGTGAGTGCCCGACGTCCAGGGATTCTAAAAGTGAGAGGCCCGTGACCTTGCTGTCCCCCACCCAGCTCCCTCAGGAACGTGGGGAGGAAGCCTGCTCCACCCTGGTAGTCCCAGAGCAACCATATCCCCCTCCTGGGCTCTGGCCCTCGTCCTCCTGGACCTCCCACTGCCCAGCTGGAAACTGGGAAGGTGGGGGAAGCAACAAAGCAAGATTGGGAAAAGGGCTCACCTACGGAGGGGCCATAGTCATGCCTGCCTCCCCCTCCCTGGAGCAGCGTGGTGGCTGCGGTCTCTAACCCCCATGTGGGTCATATGGGGGTGGGAGTGGGGACAATGGCAGCCAGACAACACCCCATCCCTGACTTAACAAGGGCCAGCCTCTGCCCAGCCAGCAGAGAAAGGCCCCTTTGTTGGCTCCAGGCACTCTGTCCCTGCACCCCCTGCCACCTCCAGTCAGACGGGCGGAGTGACCCCAGCTGGTCCTCAGGGAAGTCACAGCCAAGCTTGGAGCCCAAACGCCTTCCAACAAGCTCCCATAGCAGCGACCCCTCCCCAAGGATGGGAGGGAGGCCAGGCGCCAATGTCACCCCACAGTCACTCTCCAGCTGGGGAGGTGGCCTTCCCAGGCTCGCCGGAAACTGAGCAATTCGGTGGCGACCCCTTGGAGCCCGCACAGTCCAGCTTCGCAGACCCAGGCCGTGCCACCTCCCCCCAAAGGCTGCGAACACGGCGTGGCCAGGGAGCCCAGGCCTTTGCATCCCTTGATCGGAGGGTGGCGCTGACTCCAGACAGACGAGCGGCAGCGACTGGGCAGCTCCTGCCTCTTCCCGGTCGCAGCGGACGAGCCAGTCCCGCCGCCGCACCGACCCCGGACACCGATCCGGTTCCGAGCGCGCCCCAAGTGACCCGGAGGCGCAAGGCACACGCAGCCCCTGTGCGCCGAGCCTTCCCTGCCCGTGTCCTCCGCTCTTCTATACCCAGCTCCGCTAGGTCCGAAAGAGTGCGCAGCAGACAAGGCCCTCCCACCGCCCGGGGCCCCCTTGTCCCGCACTGACCGGACCTGTTCCCCCACATCTTGAGCATCCTACCCTTGTCAGGGTCCCCACGTTCCAGGCTTCCCCCAGCCCGGCCACACCCCCACATCCACTCGCAACCCCACCCCGCCCTGGCCCAGAGGGGCACGCGGCGGCCCAAGATTCCGCGTCCCGAGCTCCTCCAGCCTGAGGCTCGCCACGTTCCAGTCACCCTGGTCCGCGGAGACATAAAGGGGCGCGCGGCAGCCCTGGGTCCCCGCCCCGGACTCCCTAACATCCCGGCCCCCCAGCCCGGGACCCCCACGTCCCAACCCCCAGCAGCACTTACCCGAAAGAGGCGCGAAGTGGCCGCCGAGCGCAGCGCGGTCCAGCCGAGTGCGCAGAGCGCCAGCAGCAGCAGCTCAGGAGGCGCCAGGTGCGCGTGCTCGGCCAGGCCGCGGCGCGCCAGCCCCCAGCCGCAGTCCGCGCAGCCCCGCGCAGCCGCCAGCGCACTGCCCCAGCCGCGCTGCACCAGCTGCGCGTAGCTAGGCATGGGCTCAGGCCCCGCCGGACCCGCCGCGGTCCCCGCCGCCGCCATGCCGCCCGCTCCCGGTCGTCCCGGCAGTCTGCGCCCGCCCACGGTAGCCGCCGGAGCCGCGCGCCCCGCGTCACGCGCCGCAGTTGGGCCGGGGGCGCGCTGGCCGTAGCCCGTGGGACGGAGGGGCGGGGCCAGTGCTAGCTCCGCCCCGCAGGGACGCGGGGCCGGAGCGCGCAGGAGCTGGGTCCCCCGGAGGCAGCAGCGGCGACCTCGGGCGTACAAGTCCTGGCGTTGTCGCGCCGCGTCCTGGAGGCGGGCCAGCGATCTGGCTCATTTTCCAGTGGAGGAAACCCAGGCGCGGGGGAGGGGGGAGGGGGGCGACCGGGGGGTGGAGGGGGTGTCTGCCTGGCGCCCGCCTGACCTGAACCAGAGTAGGGCCGCAGCGGCCCCGTGTCCCCATCCCTCGTCCTCGCTTGGATGCCCTTGCCCATCCTGGGCTCCTTCACCCCACCAGGCTGTGTCCGCAACACGGGGCAAGGTGAGCACCAGTAAGCCGTGCCCAGAACCAGCGATTCTCTCTTTCCCAGGCCCTCCAGCATGCTTCTCTTGCCCTGTCCCACACTCAGGCCTCACCATCCCCCCGCTTGAGGGCCACCTGCTGCTCTCTGTGACCCTGAAGACCTGGCAGGCCTCCCTGAAGCGGGTTAACACAGGCCTTCAGGGAGGCCAAGGGAGTGAGTGCCCATGTGGGGGAACTCAGGCTGGATCAAGACCATCACTTCATTGGGACCACCCCCCATGATCTTCCACTGTACACCGACCACGACCTGTGTCCAAAGCCCCCAATGGCCATCACCAAAGGCACCGGTCACCTCTTGGGGACATCGTTTCGCCTGCCACTGGTAGCCCTCATCCCAGCCCCAGGACTCCCGCATGCCTGTGCCCGCCCTTCTCCCCATCTAGGAGTCCTCCCACAGCCTTCCGAGGTGGGGGGAATCAGTGTGTGCCCTGCAGGAGCCAGGCTGGGTTCCATATGGCCACCAGCCTGACCTGACCTTCAGGTGCACAGGTGACAACAGAGAGGGGGGGTCAAAGGGGCCCTCATCCCTCCTCCTTTCCCTCACCCTCTGTCCTGCAGCAATCCAATTCTCCCCACCTTCAAATGTTCCCAGAATCCAGCCACTTCTCTGCACCTGTACAGCCTTATGCGACCCTCGGCCACCCTTGTGCCTCCTTCCTAGTGTCTCGGCCTCCTCCTTACCCTGCTCAGAGGCCAGAGGAAACCTACCTGTCCCTCCTCTGCTCACAGCCCTCCATAGCTCCCATCATACAGAGTAAAAGCCCATCTCCTCACTGTGACCCACAACCTATCCTCACGCCCTTCTCTCTCCATCTTTCTCCTTCCGTTCCAGCCACACTGGCCTCATAGCTGGAGGTGGCTCTCCAACACCCCAAAGAGTCCTGCCTCAGGGTCTTTCACCGGCTGTTCCCTCTGCCTAGAATGCTGTTCCCCCAGGTATTGGCAGGGCTCCTCCTTCACCAACTTCAGGCTTTACGTACAAATGTCACCTGCTTGTTGCACCTCCCTCATCCCCCCATCAGTCTTCTCCTTGGCACTTGTCACCATCTGTCGTGCTGTACCTCTTACTCATTATTTTTGAATGTGCACTCCATGTGGGCAGGGGTTCATCTGTCCCGTTAACTAATGCCACAGCCAGCGTGGCAAGCAGACGGGGGCTAAGGGGTCCCGGGCTGCTGGACATGCCCTCATAGGTCCAGTCGGGCCTGTGGGGCAGCCCTGTACCATCACCATCCCAACCACCCACCTCTGCCCTCCCGCCCAGGCACTATCTGGTCACTATGGCACCCATCAGTAATGGGAGAGGTGCCCCCAACCACCAGCCCCAGCCCAGCCTCGAGTTTCATTTTGGCAGGGCCCACATAGGAGGCTGCCAATGTGTGGGTACAGAGCGGAAACAGAAAGTGGCTCCTGGTGCTGGCAGCTGAGAAACAGCTCCCAGGCACCAGGGGCTCAGTGAGGGGCTGCCGAGGTCCCAAGGATGGCACCCATACCCTGCCCCACCTGAAAGGGCAGGCCTCTTCCCCAGGGAGCTCATCTCAGCCCTCACTCCCCCTACACACCACTGCCCCTGACTGATGCCCCTGCCCTGGGGCATCCGCGCCAGGCAGGGAGGGGCTGGGGGTGGGTCCTGATGCTGGGGGTCCCTTGCTCTCTGTCTTGTCTTGGCAATCAAGCACAGGGTTTCCCAAGGCCACCTCCGAAGCCAGGCTCTCGGAGCCCAAGTATCTTTCTTTCCCCACCCAGACACTGGCCCAGAGACAGAGCCCTGTCCAGCTCACTGAGTCCAGTGTGGCCTCAGGGTCTTTGCATAGGCTGTTCCTACTGCCCAGGATGCTCGTCGCCCCAGAACCTGTCCTGGCAGATCCTTCTTCTTGTTTTGGTGGACACAGCTCAACGGTGACCTCATCCCAGAGGCCTCTGCCATTCCCCTCCCTCCCTCTGTTGTTTAGCTTTTTTTGTTTTAATAAACGGATTGATTGGCTGCGTGGGTCTTCGTTGTTGCGTGCGGGCTTTCTCTAGTTGCGGCGAGCGGGGCTACTCTTCTTTGCGGTGCACTGGCTCCTCATTGCGGTGGCTTCTGTTGTTGCGGAGCACGGGCTCTAGGCACGCGGGGTTCAAGGAGTTGCAGCACATGGGCTCAGTAGTTGTGGCTCACGGACTCTAGAGTGCAGGCTCAGTCGTGGCACACAGGCTTAGTTTCTCTGTGGCGTGTGGGATCTTCCCAGACCAGGGCTTGAACCCGTGTCCCCTGCATTGGCAGATTCTTAACCACTGCACCACCAGGGAAGCCCTTAGCTTCTTCTTACCGAGGGGCGCTCACTATGCATTTCTCTCTCTGGGCAGGGAGCTCGCTGCTTTGGCCACAGCAGCGCTCCGGCACCCACAGCCCCGACCACAGGGGGTCTGTCTCGGCTCATGACTCACCGCAGGGCAGCAGGGAGCAGGGGTCTGGGCGGCTGATGTTCGCTCCTGTGAGGACCCGGTACACACCCTCCCCACTTGGCTGAACCTGAGTGCTCTGGCACCCTCACCACCTGCAGACCACCCAGGGGTCCTGCGTTCAAATCCTGGGGCCCCTTGTGATGGCTGTGACTTCTCTGTGCTGCAGTTTCCTTGGAGCCAACTGGGCTTGGGGGACACGGCTGTGCCGCCTGCAGCTCAGCAACATGAGGTGGCTGTTTGAGGGCAGGGGAGTCTGTACAGCTGCTGCTCACAGACCCTGGTCACCGGGGCCCCCTCCCAGCAACAGCCCTGGGTGATGGTGCCCAGGCCCCTCCCATCTGAGCCTTGGTTCCCACATGCTCCCCTCAAAATGGCTAGAGCAAACATGGATCCGGTGGGGATACCTGGAGTGGAGACATTTATTGACAAAAGGGGGGACTGGACTGGGCTTCCAGCCTCTGCTTCTGGCCAAACGGCAAGTGCCCGGTGGAGAGGGCAGCACAGCCCTGGCCTTGTATCCCCACAGCTCCAGAAACGCGTCTGGGGCCGGTCTCAGGCGCTGGGGGCGTAGTGCAGCACCAGCCGGTCAAAGTCGTTTTCCTTCAACGTGAATAGGGGGCGGGGAAGGGGGATGGGGGTGGGCAGAGAAAGGGGAGAACTTGTGAGCCAGGCCCCAAGTTCTGCGCTTTGCCTGGCAGAGCCTCGGGGGTCTAGGGCTCAGAGACGGGCCGCCTGCACAAGCTCACCTTGGCCTGGTACTCCTTGATGAAGGGGTGGGACCTGTGGGCGTCCTTCAGCTGCGACAGGTAGCGGTTTGTCACCTGTGGGGGAGGCAAGGTTAGCTAAACGTGGGGACGCCATGGTGGCTCTGGCCTGCAGGGTAGGGGGTGGGGTGAGACAAGGGCCACCTGGCCAGGTCCAGGCAAGAGCCCTGGTTTCCCCACATTTTCTCCATCACAACCTGCCGCCCCGGAACCATGCTGAATTCGAGAGGACCCTGGCGGGTGGGGAGCACCACCTGGCACAGAGCCTGCACTTGGTACATGCGCGAAGCATGCACCAGGTTCAGGGATGCGGGCTGGGCAGGGACCCAGGCCCTGGGAGAGGCAGGAGGCCAGGAGTGGAAGGCAGGTCAGGGAGCACGGGGCTGGGAAAGGAGATGGATTTGTTCTGGGCACGTCGTATGGAGACACCTCAGAGGTGGGCCCTCGCTCCCAGCCTTGCCCTACCCGCCAGGCTCAGCCCTGACCATGTGGGGCTAGGGGCGTCTGTCTGGCTCTGTTTCTCCAAAACTGATAGTCTGGGGATGTCTCTGCGGTGAGTGGGAGAGTGGTCCTATCTGTCCTGCACCACCCCAGCCCTGAGGCTGTCTGGGGGGCTCTTCTTCGAGAAACTGGTGACAGACCATCATGAAGCCCTGAGGCAGGCCCCTGGCCGGCTGGGCAAGACACCTGAATGGGGCAGTGCCCCAGCGTCCTCCTCCCCGCCCTCAGACAAGGTAGGCTCAGCAGGATTGCTCCCCGGAGCCCTGTTTCTCTGTCCTGGTGTCCGCCCCCAATCCTGAGGTGGCACAGGCTGACTCCCAGCCTGGGAGCCCTGAGCCTCAGCCCACTTGTCTGTAGGACCCACAGAGCAGCTGACCTGCAGCCCCGACCAGGATGGGGACCCTGGGAGAGTACTTGCAATGCCAGCTTCCCGGGGCCGATCTCAGCTGCACCCACTCGTGGGGAACAGGTTTTTGCCCCAAGGCCAGGCCAATCTTGAAGGTCAGACCCTGAGGCCCCAAGCTCCCTCTAGAGCCGGGGCCACACCAGAGACCCCTGCCCACCCCAGGCTGGCACCGTGAGGGCCGGAAAACACTCTGCACCTGGCTGAGGGTGGGGAGGGTCCTACCTCGGGAGGCTTGCCCAGGTGCTGGGACAGGACGATGAGGTTGATCAGGGTCTCAGGGTGGCCGCTGTCCTGGCAACACAAGGGGACACCAGACAGGCAGGGTCAGCTCCTCCAGGCCCCCATCTCAAGCAGGGCTGGGATTGCAAGACCCAGCACGCCCCCACCACTGGCCGCTCCACAAGACAGTGACCTCAGGGCCCTCCCTTCTGCCTCCCCACACCGGCTGCTTTCCCAGTGAGCGTGTTGCTTCACGTGCAGACCAGTCTGACACAGAGCCCCCTTGCTTGTCGCAATTTGGGAGGGGCGTTTTTATCACAAATCTCAAAGTAATGGAGTCCAGACCAAGGCGGCCTCAACCTATCACAGCCCAGCTAGCTGCTCCTCCTGCTGCAATGAAGCCTGAGACCGTGGGACAGACCCCTCCCGCCCTGCCTGCTCCCCAGGGGCATTGGCAGGAAGCTGCGGGAAATTACCAGAAACTCCAAGGGGGTGACCTCACCCCACCCGCCCATATTGGGCTCTGAGGCACAGGGAACTCTGGGAATCAGCTCGGCCGCTGCCTTGGCCAGGAACCCCAGCCAGAGCCCCTGGCTGGGGCAAGGCAGGGACGTGCCGCTCAGGATGCAGGGCGCCACAGGCTCGAGGGGCTGCAGGGACCCAAGCCTCCTGCACAGATTTGGCTCCACCCCATGCTGCCCTTCTTTGCAGAGACCCGCATTCTCCCCACCAGCACGGGGCGCTCTGGTAGGCGAGGCAACTCCACACGGGCAGCCTGACGACACCAGCCAGCAGGAGCACCCGACTGACTCCCCTCAGCCTGGCCCCACTCGGCCAACAACCTGACGATAGCTCGGCCCCTCGCAGAGATGAGCATGGAGAAAGCTTCCCACTGGTGTCAGTGTCTCATTATATCAAACAACGTTTCAGATGGCAGCCGTGAGAAGACAACTGCGGCAGCCCTGAGTGCAGCGCTCCAGGCCCTCTGCTCGACAAGGATGGGCAGAGGTGACACATCCCGTCGGCAGCCTGCTCTCCCCTCGGCAGCAAACGGGAGCTGTCTCTCCCAAGCACAGACCCAGGTGAGGGATCACCACGAAAGGCCCCTGGCCAGGTAGCCAAGGTGTCAGTGAAGAGGAGACAGAGCGTGGGTCTGCTCAGCTCAGGCCGACGGGGGCCCAGGCTGACGGGATCCTCGCATTTCCAAGAGAAGTTAGAATCAGGATTGTCGCTTGCAATCCTGAGTTTTAACTGATATGGCATTAAAATCCCCACATGGCCACAAGGCAGGCCATGGGGTCTGTGGCACACCTGTTTCTGGGCTGGGGCTGCGCCTGCCCATACCTTGTCCAGAGCCTCCTGCAGCACGCCCTCCGCGGCCTCCCACCGGCCCTGGGCCATGTGGCAGGCTGCCTGCCCACTGAGCAGCAGCAGGGTGGACGAACACTTGTCAGCCATCTCCTGGAAGATGTAGTAGGCGTCCTGCAGCTTCTCACCACCCTGTGGGGACAGTTGGCATCACCGCTTTGTCACCCTGCTGCCCGGCCCTACCCTGCCTGCTCCCTCCTGGAGGGATCCCAGCACTTTGTGGAGACAATCCCAGTGCAGCCGGCCCACGGCAGGCAGTCTTTGGACACCGCCCCCTTCCCCGAAGAGACCCTTGTGCAGCTAGTGCTGTGAAGGGGCCGAAGCGGTACGCAGACCCCCTCAAACCCGGCTCCCCAAGCCCTACGTTTATAGACTCGAAAGCCTCGGCTTCAAGAGGGAGAATCAGTGCATGGGCAGCTGGGTCAAGGTCTGAGCTGGGACCACTGGGACACATGGCCCATCGGGGTGGCCTCTGCTCCAGCAGCCGTGACCCCGACCGCCCGAATTCTGAATAAGAAGGTTCTGTCCGCCTGGTAAAGACACAGCGCCACACCTGCAGGGGAACCTGAGACCAAGATGTGCTTGTGAAAGACTGCTAGGCTATGGGAGAGAGCTGTTCGGGTTTGTCCCAATAAACTGAATGGATACTGTGGGGTGAGGCCTCCGCCCTGCGAAAGGATGTGCAGATGCACACATACGAGGAGCACCATTTAAAAGGCCCGTACAAAGGAGCGACTCAGAGGAAGGAGCCAAATGGCCAAATCCAGAAATGGGGCTGCTGCCAGGAGAGGGGTGCCCAGGCACGGGGGGGGGGGGGGGGGCCCCGGGGGGAAAGCGTGAGGGGCATACGGGCACCAACCCTGTGCTGGGAGCCCCGAGAGCAAGCTGATGGCAGCCAAGAGCAGGGCCAGCCCCAGAGGAGGGTGCGCTGCCAGCTGGCTGGCTCCGTGCACCCGGGCTGGGGGGCGGGAGGGGGTACGTGCAGGCAGAGGTACGCCGAGTCCGGTTCCATAAACCCCCAGTTTGTTCACTCTGGCTCTGGCCAAGCCTCTCGGCTGCAAGGAGCCAGAAGGGGTCAAGCCCGAGAGAGGGGGAAAATGTGCTGGGGCTCCTCCAGGGGACTAGCCCCCAAGAAAGCAGGAGGTCCAGCGCGTCTGTGGAACCCCACCTGCACCCTCCCCACAGGAGCAGCCAGCGCTGCGCACAGGGCGTCGCCGCCACCTCCTGGTTCCCGGATACTCCTGTCTCTCATGCCCGCACACAAGCTGGGTACTCACCA